TGTGCTTTGATTTTTGAGCTGAGAAATTGAATGTCAATTCGACAAAAATGAATGAAAAAAGAGACCACTCGAAGAAACTTTAAAGACTTCTGTTTTCCCTGGAACTTATAGGTCAAAAAACGGCGATCATTCCTAATCATTTTCTTACCTTAGGCAAGATACAACCTTCGTTACTTGAGTGTTGCTGAGATATTAGCTAGAAAAAAACTTCCTTGCGAGGAGGCTCCAGCACTCTGATGTTATGGCATCCACAAAACTTTGAAAAATTGTTTAGGATCTTAATTGATGACGAACATTGTACTTCGATTGACTTAGTCTATGTTCCAAATAATTGCTTTTTGAAAATTCCGAGAAGTGGAGGTAATTTATAAAAGAAATCGGTGGCCAAGTTTGTTTTTATATCATCCTGACATTTCATCTCTTAGATCGTTAAGAAAACAGAATCGCGTAAGTTGTGGATACGACGAACTTCGTGGAGGAAAATTTATACAACTACTGGTCAAAACATAAAAAAGGGTGCAGAGCGTTGAACAGCATTAGAAAAATTATATAACAACCTTATAGAACATTGCATTGGAAAATGAAGTCTTATGTTGAAAAATGTCAGATCAAAATCATCTTCAAAGTTTTGAAGTTTCGTCATGGCATTTGAGGAATATCATATTTAGCAAATGCATTTTTTACATGTAGTTTGGCAATGAAGAACATATGTGGATGTAAGATTACTTGTACAATCTGCTTGAAAAGCACTACTTGTGGCAAAGCTTCTAGTAATTTGATTAACTTCTTCAAATGATATTCCCATGTTGTCCTTAATAAAAAAGTTCTTTATTGCTTCAAAATTCTCAATGGAATAAAAAATGAGTAGAAAAGCGAAGTTGAATTTTGAAGAAAATAAAAGTGATGTTGTTGCAGCAAAATTAGATTCATATTCTCAAACTCCTTCTATCAAAATATAAAACGTTACATATACATGCATAATCTGGTTCAATATAATTCGCTTTAACAAGAGGAAATTTCCCCAGTAAGAAGTCAAACTAATAAAATAAATATTATTTATCCTTAGTAACTTTGAACAATGAGTTTGGTATCACAGTGAATCACATTATAATCATAATAACAGCGTTCTTTTCTTTGAATATATCATGATTTCAGAAAACTAGGTACTCTAATACTCGATTGTGACAGTTTTCGTTTGCAGGTACTCGTTTAA